ACGTGTGCACACACGCAGAGCACACACACAGCACAAGGCACACGTGTGAACCGCTCACAGGCGTGCGCACGCCTGCACACGTGTGCACACACGCACACACGCAGCCCGGCGCGGCAGCCCCGCGTCTCTGCGGCTGCACTGCAGGCCCCGGGGCGCCGGGCGTCCCCGCGGGACGAGGCGTCGGCGGCCGCGGCTGGACGGCGCAGGGCAGCGGGCGCGGGGCGACGTGCTCCCTCCACGGACACAGCGCGGCAGTGGCGCGGGCTCCCCCCGGCTCGCGCAGCCCCCGGCGCCTCCTCCGCGCCCCTGCACCTGGCCCCTCCAAGGCTTCGCTGGGCAGCGGCGCTGGGCAAACCTTAAACCTGACACCGGGGCAGGGGATGGGGGGGTCTCGAGGCCGCTTGGGGCACCGCGCAGGGCCCCATTGCCCATCCGGCCACAGCGGTCCCGGCCCCTCGTGCCCGGCTGGCGCTGACGGCTGACTTGGGTGCCGGCCAGGAATGTCCCATGCCGGGGAGCTGCGGGTGCCCGCGACACGAGGAGCCCCGGCGGGTGGGTGCGGCGCTCGCAGCCCCCAGGCTCTGGCTGGAGGCAGCCTAAGGCCGGGAATATCCCGGTGCGCAGTGAGGATGGAGGGAGCGTGACTAAACACCCAGTGAGATGGAGGGACTCGGCTTCCAGGCCTCTACTTGAAGACCTCCTGCTGTTAACACGGGCTGGCTCTGGGCGAGGGCCGCGTGCTGGCGCTGGAGCTGCACGGCGGCGAACGGCCACCTGGGCAGGCGCAGCCGAGGAGCGCTGCCCTGCGCCCGTGCGTGTGTGTGCGTGTGGGAGCGCCCGGGCTGCCCCGCGGAGCGGCTTCGTGCCGCCACACACCTCTCAGGCGGAGAGCAGAGGTGCCGAACGCCTTGCGGGAGCCAGGGAGGAGCGAGACGTGTGGCGCGGCACGCACCGCAGCCTCCCCTTCCTCCCCGGGGCCGCTGCAGCGCAGCGCAGCGCGCGGCTCTCCCCAGCTCCCCCGAGGACGGTGCCGTTCTCACGCGAAGCGGCACCTTCCCTCACGGGATCCAAGCCGAGAGCACCCCGCGCCCGTCCAGACCCTTGAGGAACAGGCGGCAGGTAGGGGTGCCCAAGTCAGCAGTTGCAGCCTCCTTGGCTGCAGGCAGAGCAGACGGCAGACCCCAGACCCCACGCACAGGAATGGAAGGGATTTTGCCCTGCCTGGGATGTTTCACGTCTCCAAGCCCAGAGCTGGAGCCTCCAGCTACTAAGGGCCGCCTGGCGCCAGGCACAGAGCCGCCCCGGCACGCGGCGGGAATGCCGGTTCCCAGGCAGGGAGCCGGGACAGTGCCTGGCGCGGGAAGGGGGAGCCCCGCAGGCTGCTCTTACCACCATCTCCGAGGCGGCTCCCACCGCTCAGAGCTGCTGCTGCCGCGTGGGTGCCGAGGACGAGCGGAGCCGTCGCCTGCCCGTGGTGCCCGCGGTGCCGGCGGCGCCAGGCTCCCCGCTCCGGGCTCCTCTCCCTCCTGCTTCGTGCGGCTGCTGGGCACCCGCGCCGGGGCACCGGGTTTGACTCCTTGGGTAAAGTTTAAAGTTGCAGACAACAAACGTGTCCGTCCATGGGATCTTTCTGGTCCATTTTGCGTCCTCCTGGAGTTGACCAGATCTGTAGAAGCAGTTCCTGATGGGAAATATAAGCGCACTGAAAAAGTCAATTGTTTTCTGATGCAAACCCGATTTCGAGAGCTGTGCTCTGTTCACTGCAGTTTGGGTTGGCCCCATCTTTTGTGTGTGCATCTTTGTATGTGAGCTGTGGTGCCTGCCCTCAAGGTAGGTAACATCGACCCAGTTATCGTTCAGTGCCGAGGGAAGTCTCTTATCAAGCTCCTTGGGGCAGTAAACAGCGTGGAAGATCCTGCAGAAATGGCAGATGATCGCTGTGCATTCTCTGTCTTACCAGATAAAAGATCAGCTCGGGACAGAGGAGCAGAGCGGAGCTTGTGCAGGGCACGTTACTGCGCTCCTGCTCCCGACGGAGCCGGGCTTGGCGCTGCCCGAGCGCCCGCACCAGCATCCCAAGGGCGTCTCGCAGAGCGCTGCCGGCCGCGGCGCCCGCGCTGCCGCCCTGCCCGCTCCCTGCACGCAGCCTCGGGCGCACGCGGCGGGTCGCGGCCCGCGCTGCCCAAGCCCAGGACGCACGCGGGCGCCGCGCTTCTCCCGGCCCTGCTCAAGCAACACTCGATGCTTCAGCGTTTTGGCTCTACTTAAACCCCGTGCGTCCCTCTCCCCCGGATAAACCCGTGGGCACCGCGTAAGGAAAAGGGGTTTCCGCAAGGGCAGAGAGAGCAAGCAAAAACCCGCACCCGCTCATCGGCTTTCCTCGAGCATAAAGAAAGGAATAGTTAAATCATTTAGTTTCTTTTTTTTTAGGATACTTATTTGTCCAAAAAACCCCTGACTGAATGCCTGCTTTTCTAAAGCAAGGGAGATCCTTACATTGTGATTCGTTACAAGCATTTATTCGGCACCTACTGGCACTTTACAAGGCGTGGATGGAGACACCGAGGACGCCGGGCGGCAGCGCTGCCCTCGCCGGCTTGCGGGGCGCCCGTGCTGAGAAAAAGGCAAGCAACGTTTCTCACTGAGTCAGGTGAATTCAACATTCACATATATTTGCTGAAAAAAAATTATATACATCTGTAGCAAGGCTCCGCCAAGTTTGAAAGATAAGCATCATCTAGTCACTAAATTAAAAAAATAAAAATCTGACTTTTAAATCCTTTTCTTTTTATCCATGTTCAAGAGCACAGACAGTTTATTTTTTTGTTAGCACATTTGGTGAAGGATGTATGTTTGTGTGAGAATCCTTGGAAACGGGTGAAAATTTGGCATTTGTTTTGGATACGATGGAAAATAATAAGAAGCCACTTATGCCTTACAGTCTAAATAATCCACAGAGTATATCAGATTGCAAAAGGGTCACAAAATAGCAGTCAAAGAGAAGCCTAAACACCCAGAGACTTAACATACATGTCCGATAAGTAAGAACAAGGTATAGAGCATGCTGGCTAATTAAATAAATTTCACTTTAAACCCTGTTCCTTATGAGTGTCACTCTGGAAAAACCATCCCGTACCAGAAATGGACTCTGAAGAGATTGCTATAACCATTCACAGTAAGGCTTTGAAGATATATGAAGTTTTATAGCATTTGTATTTTAAGGATTTAGGGCAAGTACATGTTCTTCTACTGAATAAAAAGAAAGTTAGTACTTAAAAGGTTCAAAAATATATCAATCATGTGATTTTTTTTTTTTTTTTTACATAAATAAATTATATTGATTTTGGATTTAACAGCTGAAAAAACCCTTTCTGCTTCCACTGGAGGCAAAACTGAACAAAATGTTAGTTAAATAGAGATAGCAGCATTTCTAAGAAATCTGTCGACAGTGATACAGTATCTATGCTACAAGGATGTTATTAAATAGAACACATTTAATTACGGGGGAGGTGCATTATGATTGGTTACACACTTTAAAAAGAAAGAAAAGGAAAAATCATCCAATCCAGAAAAGTGGGAATAAATTCCACAAAAATATAACCCCAAATGCTTTTTTTTTTTTGCTTTTTTTTTAAGATCATGGGTAACAGACTTCTTTGAGATGCTAATTTTAACATGTACATAATTTATAACCCCAAATGTATAAAAGACAATGACAAAAAGCATCATAAATAAATAATGCAAACTGAAATAGTTATGTCAAAACATTTGGACCATCTGATAAATTAGCAAAACTGTAACAGAAAATAAGTAAAAAATACAGTAAATTGTGACAACCAAATGTGAAGCTGATTGCTAGGACACTTGCGAGCCCCTCGAGCGCCTGCCGCCTCACCGCTGCACCGCGTGTGGTTTATTTCAAGTCTCAAACCAAGAGCTGCAAACAGGAACGAGGCCAAGCGAAGCCCGAGCGCCCGCGGAGGCGCCGGCGGCAGCGCGGGCACCGCACGCCCGCCCCAGCGCCACGGCACTGCACAACACCGCTCAACAGCAAAGAGACCAGGGAGGAACGGGAAGAAGCAGCAACCGTGACGACCTCTTCACAGTCTAACGCTAGAAAGGAAGAACCTCCAGCTCTGCAAACCTCGGCAGCCCTTGCCGGAGGCCGCGGGAAACGGCACCTTCCTCCTTGTGTGCGGAGAGGCCGGCGCTCCGGGGCCGGGGCTGCCACATGTGAAAACTCAAAAAGCCTCAGTGTTCATATAAGAGCATTGATTAAAATCAGCGTGGCCCGTTCACGGCTGGGAAAAGGAACGTTACAGCACGTCTAACGCCATAGATGAGAACTAACGCCATAGATGAGAACTGAACGCTAGCAGAACGAGGAAGGAACTGGTAGCTCTAGCTACAGTAATCCCAATAAAAGTCATGCAAGATGTGCAAAACATTTTCAGCCTGCGCTGAAAAGTTCTTGTAACTACCAAGGAAAGGGCAACTAAAACTCCACTTAACAGAAAACCAAACTTTGGTTTTAAAAAATACAAAATAGTGTCTACATAATATTTTCACTCACCGTAGTTTGTCTCCAAAAGTTTGAGGTGGGGTGGTAAAGAAATTATATCACTACCAGTTATGCCTTTTTGTTTCAAAGAAATGAATATATGCATTTTCAATCATTAATTATATACTTCTGTCTATACTACTGTTCTAGTAACCATGATAAAATAGGGAAATACTTTAAATCAAAAATACACATTAGCACTTACTATAGCTGTGCTTTTACCCCCAAATACAGGCTTTTTCATTCAGTGTCGCCGGAGAAAGAAATACCCTTGTCCGGAATCAGACCAAAGGTAAAGACTTTTCTCTTGCTCGGTGTTTTGCTTCTTTTCCTTCTCGCGCACGTGAGCGATTTCGGGGGTGACCAGGTCCTGGATTCGCTATTGGTGGCTGGGATGAACAACCGGAAAACGGAACGCAAATTCTGTGCCTCCCATACTAGCTAGACAACACTGTTTATCTAATAAAGTGGCAAGACCCTGCAACTATTAACATGTAACATGTCACCATAGTTTTCGTACAGGGAATTAGGTAGATAATATTACTCATGGAAACACAGGTTTATGAAGGTGAAGTGGGGGCGGGAGGGTAAGTAACAAATAGTCATGGGATAAGAACCTTACAAGCCACAATCTTTCCAATGAAACAAAAGTTCTAATTGGTGTCAGTCACCTCCTTGGGCTGCGCCGCCGCTGGCACCTCCTGCTCTGGCTCTGCCGACGGAGGCGGTGTTTGCTCTGTACAGTTTGCACTGCTGGCCGCTTCCTTTTCGGAGGGCAAGACAGTCTCTGGCTCGGGATTCGCCGCTTCCCCTTTCACCTTCTTTCTCTTGCGCTTCTGGCTTTCCAGGTTTGCTGCCTCTGAATGTCTGGCCTGCTGCATGCCCGGCAGTGCCATGCCGATGCCGGGGGAGAGAAACATCGACGGATAGATCAGTCCAGGTGACATCCCGGGGATAAGAAACGGGTTAAAAGCTACAGGACTACTGGTAGTTATTGCGGATTCTGTCTGATTAGAAAAGGAACTAGGGCCGGGCTTATCTTCGGCGAGAGTTTCTTTGTTCGCCTCCTGGCTACTCTGCTTGTCCTCAGCAGCTTTCTCTGCGTTTGCTGCGCCGCTTTTTGTTGTGCTTGTCAGAGACGCGGGAGCAGTCGCAGAACACGTGGTTGTCATGGGGGGGCTGAGCAGTCCCCCCACGCCGAACATCTGCGGAACGGTGGCCATGCCCGGCAGCATCATGGGCAACATGCTCAGGGTGCCTTTCACGTCGTCGCCGGCGGGCACTGCCGCGAAGCCGGCGGGAAACCCCACCAGCCCCGTCAGGGGGATCCCCTGCATGTTTCTCATGTTCTGGAGTCCTACCAGATCCATTCCAGCAATCAGTCCATTCATGAACAGTGGTCCCATTCCAGAAGACGAATCTGCTACGACACCAGGGCCTTTAATGAGGTCGTTTCTGGGCCTTCTCCCCCTCCGGCGCGGCCCCGCATCTCGGAGCACGGGCTCAGTTAGGATACGATTGAACTTACTGTCTGGCAAGTATCCCTGAAAACGAAACACACACAAGAGAAAACGCCTGACAGTTACTCTGGCACCTGACCAGGTCTGGCTCTCCCGTTCCCGGGCCAGCTGCGCCCCAGACGGCGCCAGCTCAGCGAGCGTGGCCCGCGTGGCTCCGCGCACGCGCTCCGTGAGCTCTCCCACGGGATGCTCCGCTGGGTGCCAGTCCTCAGCTCCTGCTGCACACCAAGCCCTTTGGGAACACGAGCAGCGCTGCGGCACAGGCACCACAGCTACCGCCAACCCAGCAGCATTTCTACCCTCAGCAACAGCGAAAACCCACGTCTTTTAGGTGTTAAGGGCCACACCGCAATGCTCTGCACGGCAGCAAAGCTGCATGAGACGACACGCAGACCATGTGCGTGCTGCTTTGGGGAAGCCACAGACAGATCTCCACCGAGTCGCCAGCAAGTTTATTCTGAAAACGCAGATATGGGACAAAAGCCACACGAACACGACTGGGTGAGACCACCTTGCTACGTGAAACAAGGGGACAGCTCCGCAGCGCAGTTTCAAATGCAGTTTTTCCGCGTTCTCCTCTCAGACATTTCAGTGTTGCTGGCACGCCTTCCGTGAGGCCCGAAGCCGCAGCCCTGGCGCGCTGCCGCTGACCAGGACAGGCGGCTCAGGTGAGCGAGGCGAGAGGCTGCCCACGCCGGCGCGCGCAGCGCACGTGGGAAGCGGGACCGAGCGGCTCTGCACGTTCGCCCTGCGTGGTGGCAGCGCCGGGTGGCAGCACCGCCTGCCTGGTGCCTCCTGCCCAGTGCCCCTGCCCAGTGCTCCTGCCCGGTGCCCCCGTCCGGTGCTCTGCCGGCGCCGGCTCCGGCAGCGCGAGCCCGCCCGGGTAGGGATGAGGGCACCCGCCAAGAGCCGGTGCTGAGGGGGCCTGAGGGTGCCCGCGCTAACGGCCCCCCCGAAACGCGTGTGCGAGTGGTGAGGAGCACACGGCTACGGCCAGGAGCAAAGCGCCCGTGAGGCTGCCCTGGCAGCAAAGCTCGTGACACCTGGCAGCGGCGCTGGCACGGATGGAGAACTCAGCATTTCGGACAGGACACGGCAATTTCCACCGTTAACCACGAGTCCGTCTGACAGCAGCACAAACTTCTAAGCCATCGGATTCCTCTCCAGCCCATGTTCGACACGGGCATCGCACAAAGGACCACAAGGACCGCGGCAAAAGTGAGGAGCAGGAGAAAGGGGCCAGAAGGACGAGCCTGGGAATGGTAGCCCCAGGAGGGAGAAGGGCCATTCCGGGGATCTTCTACACACCGGGACTTGTGAGGGTCTCGCGTAAGCAACAGGGAAGCCCCAGGTACTGCTGGCGAGCCCCAGGCTCGCAGCCGTGTTGCCAGGAAGGCTCTGATACCGGGCACCCCCTCCAGGGACGGTGCACGACCCTGTCCTGCCTCCTGCCCATGCTCCGGGCATGTCGCCCGCCATGGCCCGGCCGGCTCCCCTAGGCCTGCAGGCCGCTCGCTGGGCACGGCCGTGGCCCGGCTGGTCTCCCTGGGCCCGCAGGCCACTCGCTGGGCACGGCCGTGGCCTGACCGGTTCCCCTGGGCCCGCAGGCCGCTCACCGGGCATGGCCATGGCCCGGCCGGTTCCCCGGGCCCGTAGGCCACTCGCTGGGCACGGCCGTGGCCTGACCGGTTCCCCTGGGCCCGCAGGCCGTTCTCTGGGCACAGCTGCGGACGGCGGCACATGGGCGAGGTGGCGCCACACGCGTCGCCCCCAGAGCTCTGACTCATGAGAGCTTAACAACGTCAGCCCCGCCAGCTGCAGCGGCGGCCCCGGGTGCGCATGGAGCCGCCCTGCGACTCCTCCAGCGCTGGGGCCGTGGCTCCCCCTGACTACAGAGCACAGCAAAACCATGACCTCCATTGACGCCAAGTACCACCACAAACACGCTCAGGCACCCAGGCACGCTCCTAGGTGCAGGGCACGACCGGCTGCGGGACGGGGCTGCCGCTGTGCGCCCCGCAGGGCCGGCATTTCGGGAGCCCCTTCATGGGAGAAGGGACAGTGGCGAGGCGAGACGTGGAGCTCGCGGTCAGGCGGGAGCGGGAGCCGTTGTTTCCCTGCTCCGGCTGTGGACTGGCCACCCTCCCATGCGGTGACCAGGGTGACAGCACCTCCCCTGGCACGTCCCTAGAGCTGCAGGTTCTCCATGGACAACTGCTGCCTCCAGCGATACCGCTCAGGGAGCAAAGGGAGCCTCTGAGGCCTGTCCCAACTCCCACATTTGCTTTCCCTGCGAACACGTGGACAGGGTGGTGGTGCGAGGGCTTTTACAAGAGACATGCTCAGAGCTGAACAAACCTATCAAGTTCAAAGCTGTCACACATGTGGCATAGGGCAACACAGATGTGGCCGAACCAGCCTCTTTAACTGTTTGTTTCTAGACATGTTTGTTTCTTCTAACATCACCTTCTAGCCTTGTGCTCTCCTAGGCGCGTTTTAGAATGAAACTTGGGTGGAAAGTTTCCCTAAACATCCCTGCTCACTGTTAATGTGCCGGGGATACACTGCCCCTAACTAATGTTTCTAGCTCTTTAGTAAGCCTATTTCCACAAGCAAGAGAAAGCATTTCAGCCCCATGCGTTTACCGCATATACTGTGCTCAGAAGGGGTATCGGTATATGTTCCTGTGCCTTGTAAGGAGGAACAAAGACATCCGAGACACATGGAAATATTACCATATTACAGTGACTTTAAATCTGAAACAAGAAAAAGAGCCAGGGCCACGGTGACGGTGGCTTTAAAGCCAAAGGCTCCACTGCTTTGCTGCTGCGAGACCTGTGTACGTTGGCACCTGGCAACACTCGGACCTTCCTTGCTCCCCATTGAAAGTCACTTAAGTTGGTAGGTCTCTACCAGTGCAGAGCAACGCATATTCCAGACAAAAGCCTGGAATAGCCATATGCTTCTCTGGATTAACATCTTCCCCCGGGCCAGCTCAGGTTCACGTTTCAGGACAGCGGGGACGGAACAGAATGCGCCTTTGCTTACCCTCCGCCCGGTACCCTTATGCACCACAGGCACCCGCTCCTCTCCTGTGAGTGAGCTGATGTCCAGTTTGGCGGGGTCCTTGCAGCGCTGCCTCCTCTGCTTGGGCTTGTCTGAAAAATTCTGCAGTGTAAACAAGACAATGTTACTGAGACAGGCTGGCTTCGTGGGGCTGCGTGGCTAGAAACCCTGCAGGAGAAGGGCACAGGTGATGTCCCAAGCGACCCAGGTGACATGGGGGTCCCTGCAGAGCTGGCGAGGAGCAGTCAGAGCAGCACAAGATCACCTCTGACCCAGAGCCAGTTTTCACACGAGCACAGCTGATTTCCACAGATATCAACATGCTTTTACACTGACTGCACCGCCTCCATCTAATGCCCCTCCAATCCCAAGGCTGCAAACTGCTCCAAATTCCTAACATGCACCTGTAAAGGGGGAGGCTGGCTGTGATTGCAAAAGAGAGCAGCGCTCTGTGGGTGCCCTCAGTCTGCCACAGCTACTCGTTTCTCTCAGCTCACCCATGCTTTGCTTTACTCTTACCCCAGCTTCTCCCACTGCACTCTGCCTCCCGAATGACTCCGTGGGGTAGATGAAACCACACGCACAGGCTTTGAACACCCCAGCTCCCGTCTTCCTGCCGCTCCTCAAGCCTGGCCCTCCAGGAGGACACTGCAGTAACTGCGCCCGCGTGGGCGGCTGGATCCCTGGGCTGCAGCCCAGAGCCAGAGGCGCTGGGCACCCCCGTGGGGCAGGAGCACCCAGCTCAGCAAGCGTCCTCACTGCTGCACGGCGAGCTGTGCTCAGCTCCGAGAAGCCACCAGCCCGGGCGGGCGCTGCGAGCCACAGCGCGCGGAAGGGCTCGGCCTTTGCCACACAGAAAGCTGAGCTCAGGAGCAACCAGAGGAAAGACTAACACGCAGGACAACACACACACACGCGCTGCTGAAGACCCCCCTTACCGTGCCGAAAGCAGGAACCTCGAGGGTGTAGTCGGATTGCTGGCGGAGCCAGTCCAGGAGACTCTTATTCGGGACGGCCTTGTCGGCGTGGCCGAGCGCGGCCGGCGCTGGCGGCGGCGCTGCGGGGGCAGCACCCGGCCCGTCTGGCAGGGGACTGGTCTGCGGAGGCTGCGCCTGGTCCTCCTGAGCGTCCTGCTGTGGAGGGAGGACAGGGAGAGCTCAGCAGCAGCCTGCAGGGAAGCAGCAGCAGCCACAGAAGGAGCTCCACAGCCCTGCACCATCCAAGCTGCCCTCTTCATCCACGTGCTTCTGAAATCACCACCCGACAGGGCGTTGTGCTGCCATGCAGCCCAGGCAGAGAGCTGCGAGCTGCTCCTGCACCTCACCCAGAAACACGGCCAGGAGGAACAAGCGGCCTGGGGACAAGGGCCCACGCCAAGGGCTTTGCAGCGGCTGCCCTCACCTAGGAAGGAACTAGAGCAGCTCCCAGATCACTGCTAGAGATGATCTAAAGCAACTGGCCCAGTGACCCGTCTTGCTTGGGTGGATCCCAGCGCAGAGGGAGAGAGGAACTTCCAAGGGACTGTCCTCAAGCTTGCTGACCTGAGAACCACCAGCCGAGACACCTGCATTGCTTGGTGCTTGGCAGGACTCCAGCACTCCAGTGCCACAAAACAGAACAAGGACTTCGCTCCCTCCTTTCAGAAATACCTACTTCTGCCTACGTCAGTGTAACTTAAGCTAAAATTTCAGAATATTTCAGAATATTTAAGGTTGGAAGGGACCTCTACAGATCATCTAGTCCAACCTTCCTGCTCAAGCAGGCACACCTAGAGCATGTGGCACAGGGTGGCATCCAGGCGGGTTTTGAAGACCTCCAGAGAAGGAGACTCCACAACCTCCCTGGGCAGCCTGTTCCACTGCTCTGTCACCCTAACAGTAAAGAAGTTCCTCCTCACCTGGAGACGGAACTTCTTGTGTTTCAGCTTGTGGCCATGAAAATATAAAATGCTGTTGGGAGAGCTGGATCATGAGAAAAGCTGTGCTGGCTCGCTGGGCCCAGGTGAGAGCAGGAAGCCTCGACCTACCTGCAGCCTACTTGGAAGAGGCCTCTCCTTCAAGAAGATGAGATCCATCCCTTCTACATTTTTTCTCCTGCCCCGTCTCCTCCTCATGGCAGCATCATCTCTTCGGAGGCTGCCGTTGACGATCTGCCCAGTGACAGGATGGATCAGCCCTGCCTGAAGGATGCCAGACAAGTCCATGCCCAGAGAGCCCTGGAGGGCGTTCACAGTTCCCAGTTTGGGCATGGTTGTGTTCAAGGGAAAAGGAGAGGAATTTCCTGGGGACCCCTCAGAGGCTCTGGACAGATCCACAGCTGAGTCGCGCCAGCCATTCAGCACAATAGGTGGATGAACGTGGGTTGCTGCTAAATGCTCCAGGCTCCTCTGCTTGGCATCTCTCTCCAGCTCGAATTCATAGGGCCTTCTGTGCTTCCGCTCGTCCTTCACAAAGGCAGGGGCGAGGAACCCTTCCTGTGTGCAACAAAGCCACAGAGAGGGTTACAGCTGCTGATGCATTGCCACGGGACCTGCTCATGCAACCACGACACAGCGGGCCCATGCGGGTAGCACTCATGCTCCTCCACCGCAGGAAGGTGCCTTTTCCTCAATCCATGACACCTCAGCGTGAGCGGGAATGGGTGCAGCGGCACCCTCACACAGACCGGGATCTCCCCGTAGCGACAGAGCTCAGGGTGCTCTGTTAGTTGCTGAGGGACCAGCTGTCCCAGGCCAGAAGCTTCTGGCTCTGTGCAGTGCCCAACAGAGAGAGAGGACAAGAGCTGCTCAGCAGGCAGTGCCTATGCCCCTGCATTTGGGGCACCAGGAGAGTGTCCCCATGTCGCCCTCCCACTCTTTGACCATGCCAGGAGCTCCAGCACTAGTTCTGGAAGCGCCTCTGCAGCCTCTGGACCGTCAGGGAGCAGTGGCCTCCCTGCAGGAGGGAAGCAGGGCTGGCAAGGGGCAGAGAGCCAAGGGAGTTCACCAGGAGTGCTCAGTGCTCCAGGGGCCTCCTCCCGCTTCGTACCTGTGAGATTAACACTCCGTTGTTGAAGCTGGGATCTGGGCCTTCCGACTCAGCAAAGCTGCTCCTGCCAACAGCATTGCTGGCAAGTGCTGGGGTGCTCATCAGGCTTTGGGTCTCAAATTGCTGGCTGGAGGAAGGCCACTTGCCCTTCAGGATGGCATGGCAGATGTTGTCAATGCGGCTGATGATCACACGGTCCTGCAAGCAGAGTGGGACAGAGGTATTTTCCATGGTGGCAGTTCCCTCAGCCGCCGTGCTCCAACACAGACACAGGAGGAGTGGGACATGTGCAAGCCACCGCGTGCGGGTGGCACAAACACAAGCCAATCGAGGCAGCCTCCGCTTGGCTGACTGAAGCACAGGGCCCGAGACACATCGAGCACTTCAGCCACGCACCACTGCTGAGTGCTGGTACCACAAGACCCAAAACACCCCTCTCAAACAAAAATCCCACCTACTACCCAGCTCCATGGGACTCTGACACCAAAATCCTGAAAGGAGGACCAGGAAGTGGGTCACAAGGGAGGCTACTGGACCACTCAGGGAGATAACTTGTTTCTGGCCTCCAGGACTGCTTGGAAGTCCTAAATCTTTCACAAATATGGACTTCTTCCTTTGCAAGCCAAGGACACAAAAGGACCATAGCAAAGGCAGGCTAGGACTATAGTTCATGCATATCCTCTTAGGATCAAGGACGAACCCAGCCTTGTGGGCTCGATTCAGCAGGGCAATGCCCTTTGGCAGTTCTGTCCAGGCACCGGTACTCGGGGAGAGCGCCCTGGCACTCCAGCCATGGCAGCCACGGGAGCGTGGGCAGAGCGCGAGGGACAGGGCTGGGCACGCCTCGCTGCTCAACTCCTGCAGTATGAACAGAGTTAATTCTCAAGCTACCTTAGGCCACTCGGAGAAGGAGTAAAGTGTCTTCTCCTGCAGAAGCTGGGCTATGGTCGGTGCACGGGCATCCTGAAGGTCGTCGATCTCCCCATGCAGGACAGATGTAGAGCTCTTGCTCTCTTCCTCCAGGAACTTGTCTGTCCCATCTAAGAACAGAGACCATCAGCTCCCTGCCTCGCTCGCCCTCCCGGGGCGGGAGCAGCTCCCTCTTCTTCCCCCGCGGACACCCAGCAGCTCCGCCAAGGGTCCCATTCTCCAATGAGGCACCGAGAAACGCGGCACTGCCGGCTCGCAGCGGGGATCCGTGCTGCTCAGCGAGGGCCAGCTCATGAGGCTGGCACTGCAGCGGTCCCTGTCCCTTCACCAGCGGCACAGCCAGAGTCCCGGTCCCTTCACCAGTGACACTTGCTAACGAGGGCCTCGTGCCAGGAAGGGAAGGGCGTCCTGCAGCCCACGGCCATAGCCGGGGCAGGAGGGCGGTGGGGCTCGGCGAGGTGCCTGGCAGGCCCCGCAGGGCAATGCAAGCGCCAGCCCTTTGCTCGACCCACATCAGCCAGAGCAGCCGCACTCAGAGGTGGGGAGCCAAGGCCGCTCCTGCAGCGGGGCCTTGAGCTCTGCGCGGGGCAGAGGCTCCTCCCCATCCCACCGGAGCAGAGCTCCCTCCCAGGACCGTACCTTGACTCTGGCCGCTGCTGGCTTTCTCCTCCTCCTCTCTGCTCCCGCACTTGTCCTGCTGCACGTGCACATGCAGGGGCTCGGGGCGCGGGGCCTCTCCGCAGCCAGTCTGCCCCCCGGCCCCCCGAGCCCAGGCCTCCGCGCCGGCCTGGCCGGGCGCTGCTTCCTGGGGCTCCACAGGAGGCTGGAAGAGGTGGCTGCGTGGCTGCCCCGGGGAGGGCTGCAGGGCGCTCTCCTCCTCCAGGCTACGGTGCTGCCCATCTCCTGGAGCAGGCTGCCCCGGCGCCTCCGGCGGGCCTGGCCCCAGGGCCTCTCTGGTGCCATTCACGTCTTCCGGGCAAGTGTCCTCGGGTGTGGGGAGGTCGCTGCTCCGCTCCTCACTCCGAGGTTCGTTGGTCTCGGCATCATGACTGACCCTGCTCCTTGGACCAGTCACGTCCTCCAGAACCTCTGCTGTTGCCTCAGAGTTATCATCGTCGTCTTCTTCCTCCTCATCCTCCTCGCTGTGGCTCTGACTCGGCCCCGATTTTCCTTCCACACCTTTCTCCTGCAGCAAATTAATGAACCTTTGTTCAGGGGGAACTTTTATTTCATAGTTATGAAGACTGGGACCATAGAGCCCCACGCCGATGACCCCTTCCACGGTGCCGTGGTCAGGCAGTGCTGTCCCCTGGCTGGGCAGGTCCCCCTTCTGCTGCACGGCGTCGCAGAGCTCTGCTGGGGCACTCCTGGAGGGGTCACTTTCTGGAGTAGAGGGTGAAGGCTCCACTTCTTCACTCTGAGCATCTATTCGCTCACAGCCCACCTGCAAACTGTCTAGGAAGGAAGCCTCCCTCAGGACCTCTGCGTCGCTGCCTGGGTCCTCGTCCCTCTCCAGCCTGCCCTCCGGGAGCTTAGCCACGCTGCTGCCCACCTCTGCGCAGCCCGGGCTGTCTCGGGCAAGGGAGCTCTGCTCGCTGTTACAGGCCTTGTCCTCGCACATCATGCACACGAGCGAGTCCGGCAGGGAGCTCTCATCATAGCTGCTGGGCATCATGTCCCGCACGTTGGACAGGAACGTTTCACAGCCTGCATCCGGTGGGCTGCCCCCAGCTTGGGACATGGTGCTCTCCACGTGTTCTGCCTTGATCTGGCTCCCAGCTTCGCTCTCCAGGGGTTCGCAAGTTTGGTCCACCTGGCTATAGAGAGGGGAACTGTAAAGTTTGGAGTTAGTCTGGTAGAGGCAGCACAGGGTTTCCGGGCCTGGGATCCCTGTTCTTTTGTGTTGCGCATAGTTCCTGTAGGCATCTAGAAAAGACAGCTGGGGGTCGTTCATGATGTAGTAGTCCGTGCGGTTGAGGCCGTGCTTGGCGGTGCCGATGAGCAAGTCCCGATCGTGCTTGCCACACTCCCACCACACAGGCAGGTAGAGGCTTGGCCGGCACAGCTTGAGTCGCTCGTGGAGCTGGGGACACTTGAGCACCTGCTCGCGCACCTTGCGCAGCAGCTCAATGCGGTACAGGGTCCTGGCGGCGCGCTCCTCCGTGATGGGCTCCACGTAGATGTCCGGGTCTGGGGGACCTGCAGCGCACAGGGAAGCCAAGGCGCTGTTACGGCACATGCAGAGCAGGGTGACGGCCTCGCTGCCGCGCAGCGCCTGTCCCCGCGGGGCCAGCACCTGAGGACACCCACAGGCGACACAGAAATCCCACCTAGTGCTGACAACGCAGGCTGGACATGGATGTGCAATGCAGTAACACCCGGGCAAGGCCTGGGTTTGCTCAGGTCTCCGCACCAGGACCAGCAGGGGTTGCTCAGGGCACTTCACTTCTGCTCGGGCTGCTTGTGAGGAAGTGCCTGTAGGCGCCACTTCTCAGGCCACTGCTTCCCCCCGGGCCTTGGCCAACAACGGGCCACAGTGGAGGAAACCCCCGACTTTATCAGATGCACCAAGAGCAGCAGCTGCTTGCAGAGGGTGTCAGGGTCCTGCCTGAGCTCTGCTCTGTTGGTCCCAGAGGCTGGGAGCTGCATAGACCTGCCAGCTGAGCAGCTCCCTGGGCCACGAGCCCCTGGCAGCCCCTCAGCAGCTTCTCGTGAATGGGGGGCCCTCAGCTCACACAGCTCCTGGATGAGGAACAGCTAGTCCACACCTGAGACATTAACACGTGCCTCTAAGGAACTGCGCCTCAGACCAGACCTCCAGCCATATTTAAGATGAGATCCTTTCTGCTATTGCTAAAAGCAAATAATTTTGTGTTTAAATAGTTGCCAAACAGCTTTTCACCTACCATCACCTGCACGGGGCCAGTGCTCTGGGGCTTTACAGGGCACCCCTAGAAAAGAGATGCCTGCTGTGTTGGCCAGGCTTTCCTAAGCGTTCTCCAGTGGGTTCAGGCTCCCTTTTTCCTGTAAAGAGCTTCTCAGTTAGCTAGGGCCACAGCACAGGTGACACGTGGACTCTGTCCAGCCCATGCAAAAGGTGTTTGGGAGGGAACCAGCACAACAGACTGTCCATGCAGTCCCCTGCTCTGCTAGGCAGGAGATGTGAGTGCTGGCAAACCTGCGAACTCCTCCTCATCTCCATTATGCCCCTACTATGTCACCTGTGGCACGGCAGAATGCAGGTGGCTCCTGCGAGGCCGTGGCCTCGGCGCGTCCCTCCTTGCCGCATGCTCCCTGTGCAGGCCCCGGTCGGCCGCAGCACGGGGCAGGCAGCCACGCGCCTGGCTCGCTCCCACGGCCCCCTCCAGCCTTCAGCCTGCTCCCTGGCTCTCCCGTTCCTCCAGAGCAGCTGGGCCATTTCTGGCCCACGGCTACATGGACCTGCTGCTACCACCACTCCAGGCCATGTCTTTTCAACTCACCATCGTCTTTCCACGGTGGGAGACCACAGACGTTCTTGCACATGGCCACGAAGCTGTAGTAATACTTTTCTAGGCTCTCGTCTGTCTTCTTCTCCAGTCGAGAGATGGCTCGGAACTGGGCCCAGTCAAAGATCTTCTTCTCCTGGTCATAGACGACCCCAAAGGAGGAGACAGTGCGGTAGAAATCTGCCTGTTCTCTCCTGGTCCACCTGAGAGGCAGGAGGCAGACACACAGCGCAGTGAGGCCGCTGGGCTCGGCCTCGCGCCCTGGCGTGGCGAGCGCCGCGCGCGCGGGCAGCCGGCAGGGCCGCGCCGAGGCGGGGAGCACCACGAGCACACACCGCTCGTCCCGCGGCGCACAGCGAGGAAGAGCCACGGGCTCTCGGCTCGCTCAACCCAACGCTCAGCTATGGGCCAGGGCCTCCAGGAGAACCTAGAGGGGTGCTGGGCTACTTCACCAACTGCTTCCTTCAAGTCAGCTTGCTCTCATCACCTCCACGGGAAGGCTCCATGCCAGGAAGGAGGGTCCCTTCACAGAGAGTTTGCAACCAGCCTGCGTGGGAGGTGAGGCAGGAGCAGGGTTAATTGCCTTAAGAGTCCTAACAGCAGAAGCCAGGCCACCCCTACAGACAGGAGTGAGCAGGACTCTTGGGGTAAGCGCTCTCCCCAAAAAAGGAGAGCAGCCCTAGTGACGCGGGCTCTGTCTTACAGCACTCTTACACCCTAATTTTAACCTTGCCTCAGCCTCTGAGCTTTCCCGTCGTGAGGGAACACGGGGATGACTCGATGGAACCATCCAGGGCAGAGGCGGAAAAGAGCAGGCTGGGCAAAGAGGGTCCTGAAAGGCAGGCTGGACAAGAGGGATGAGGCTACACAGGAAGAGGCACAGGAAGAGCAGGACCTGGTCACGGCGAGGGCATATGGGCGCCGTGTGAGAAAGAAAGTCCAATTTGAGCTCCTGTGAACAGCAGTTCCCTGCCTAATGTTAGCAAGCAGCTGTGACACATCCCGGGAGACCAGACAGGCTAACGGCACCCACAGCGCTCCCACACTGACTAAAATACCCTCAGATCTACCATTCCCGCCCGACTCCCCAAGGAGTCCTCTGCAGCGATACTTCATTCCAAAGAGGAGAGCAAATAACAAGAAGTTAATCAAAAATCACTGACCAGAAGGAGCCCAAAGAGGAGCTTGCTTAAATACTTAGAACTGAAGGCCGCTGGGAATAAGCCTAGTGGGAACCAGCCCTGCAAGGAGACCACACACACAGGAAAAGGAAGGGGCCGTGGGGGGAAGAGCAGGATATGCCGGGATGTTTTGTTGTGCCCGCATGGCCCTGTCTCCGACACCCCCAGCTCAGAGAGGAGGCAGCACAACTGGAAGCACTGCGGGGACGGGAGGAGGGAGGTCACTGAGCTGGGCCAGGGACCCCATTGTGAGGGGGAGCGCTGCCCTGGCACAAGCAGCTGCGAGCAGCAGCGATGCGCCCTGACTGAGCGCAAGGGGAGCCTTCATTCAACACGGAGCTGAACCGCCGGAGCTGCCCCGTCCTGCCTCCTGCCATTCCCCACGCCCTGGGATGCTGAAGCTGGGAGCGCGCTGCCATCTGCTGCCACGGGCCCCTCCCAGCTCCCGAGGCCTGGAAAAGCTGCACATGCCGGTTGTGACAGCGCTCATCCATCACCCCCACGCGCCGCGTGGCCTGGCTCTGGCACATGCCATGGCTCAGCAGCATCCCCGGTGCTGGAGGACAACCCTTGGCCCAGCAGATGCTGGATTTGGTCCAGAAGACGCTCAATTTGTTCCCTTGGGCTTCTTCCTTTCAAGCTGTTACCAGCTGCTACCCAAAAGCTACACATGGAGGCCCAAGGACACGGTGGGTCCTTCCTGGGCACGGGAGAGAGGGGGAGGCTGGTGGCCCTTCTGCGTCCCGCAAGGAACCCCCCAGCTGTCGCGGGGCTTCCTGGATAAATGCCGGGACGCAGGAATTGCAGCCAGTCCACAGGGCTACACCAGGCACCCGCGGTGTGCGGCCACTCTGTTACCTCTTCTGCATTTCTTTGTTTGCCGAGTCCATCTCGGAGGCTCTCCGGAACATCTCGTCCTGCAGCCAGTATCCATGGCCCCCGGGCACCAGCAGGTCGGCGCGCGGAGGCAGCTCTTTGCGGTTGCAGCGCTGGTAGACGGTGACGAGCCTGCGCAGCCGGGCTGTGAGGGCAGACGAGACAGGCCAGCAGGATCTGTCTGAGTCGGAGCCATCCTGGGCTTCAAACATCAGCAAGGACATTAGTATGTAACTCACACTGCACAGCCACAGGCTCCCGCATCCCGGTGCATCCCCCTGCCAGAGTGCTCTCCTGCCCTACCCTTCCCATAGGGAGCTCTACGGAAGAAATTCTGGGAGCGAAGGGCTGGCCCGAGCACCCCTGGGCTTCTGCATCCCCCAAGCTGCTGTCTCAGAGCCACACCAGGTCTGGGCTTCCTTGGAGAAGACCCAGAGGCCAAGATCGGGGTAGGAAAACGCACTGTGGGCCAGACCGCACCTAGGACAGCAGCCCCCAGGACTGCCCCTGGTCCCTGGCCCGGCTCTGTGGACCTGCCAGCCAGATCGAGGCCTGGCTGGAGGACCCGGGGGCTCCCTGGCCTCTCTGTGCTAGAGAAGAGTCAGGCTGGAAGCCCCGGGGGCTCCCTGGCCTCCCTATGCCTCAGAAGAGCTGGGCACCCACTTAAGGCCACCGGGGACCCCTGTTGTTCAGGGGACGCTGCCTGGGCATTGGGGCTGGGCAGGGGGGCCCGCCGCCTCTGCCGTCCCCCCCAGCCCTGCGGAGCCGTGTGCCAATGCATGGACAGGGATGGTGGCCTCGCCGGCCTCACCTGCCGCTGGCTCGTCCCGCTTCTCGCTGGCCTCGCCCGCCCCAGTGGCCACCACGTCCTGCAGAAAGAAGCCATCAGAGGATCCATCAGACTGGGCAGAGCGCCCAACGCCGCCCGCCCCAGCTCTCAGCGCCAGGCCGGGCCCTGCTCTCATTGCCCTGGGGACCATTGCCCTGGGGACCATTTCTCTGGGGACACTCATGGCCCCTTGCCAAGGGCTCCTGATGCTTATGGTGACACCCAGACCCCGGCAGCTCTCGGCTCTCGTTCCATGTCCGTTCTCCACGAGGCAGAACCCTGCTCACCTCCTGCTTCGGCAGCCCCTCCAGTTTTTCTCCACCGTTCTCTTCCTTCTCCAGGCTCCCCCTGGGTAAGAGAGCAAGTTAGTCCCAGCAGCGGCAGCTGTGCCCGCGCCCACCAGACAGGGCAGAGAACGGGCGCTCGGAGCACAGAACAGGCGCCCGGGCGCACGAGGCGGCTGCCCCGTGGCCCTGCGCCAGGAGCCAGTGCCACCCGGTGCGCCCTGCCCAGGGCCTGCTGCTCTCACCCGCACTCAGGCTGCTTCCCTCTCCCTCCCGCGGCCCTCCCTGCGACCGCCGGCCCCAGTGCCCCCCGTGCCCTGCCCACCTCTCGGCCGCGTCCTGGGCCCCGTCGCCGGTGCCCTGCTCTGCCGACAGCAGCTTCTCATCGGGCATGCCCACCTTCTCCAGGAAGCACAGCGCCGGGTCCGCGCGCATCGCGTTGTACCTCTCGTAACCTGCCAACGGCCGCGTGCCATCAGAAAGGAGGAAGAGGCACCAGCCCTGGGCCCGGTTTAGACCGACCTCTTGCTCCGGGGGACACGGCTCTGCCTGCTCTCTGTCCCTCTGAGTGCAATTCTGATCCCCTGAAAGCCAGAACACCTTCCACAACGGATCTAACTGGCCTGCAGCCCCGGTGCCCAGGCGAGTGTCGAGCTTCCCATCGCAGAGCGCAACCCCGGCTACGGGGTGGGCAATGAGAGACCCTTTGGCTGCTGGGAGCTGCAGGTCAGAGACCCAGCACCGGGGTGCCTGCCCCACCTGCCTCGCACAGCGTCCGCCCCACGAGGAGGGCTACGTACCGTGCTTGAACACTCCGATGAGAAGGGATTTATCCGCCTCGGCATTCCACCAGTCCACTGGGATCTCCACGTAGTCGATGTCCGGCAGCAGTACGTCCAGCTCCCTGCAGGGGACAGGGTGTGAGAGCCGCTGCCGGCTGCACGAGGGCAGCGGAGGCGGCAGCCGCCGCCGGCACCGCGGCCCGGCCTGCCCCCGCCTCCCCGCACGGACACTGCGCGGCCCCTCTCCTCCTCCCTCGGGAGCAGTGCCAGGTAGCTCTTCTCAGATTCCAGTAGCACCCATGGGAGAAACCCTCCTCAAACCCGCTGGTTCAGAAGAACCTGGTCTGATGGGTGGGCTACAGCACGTCCTCTGAGAGGACTCCCGCTGACGGAGCTGGGCTGGTGTAAACCACGAGCCCAGCTCAGGGAAGGCAGCAGCCCGTCCTGGGAAACGAAGCTCAGCGGACTGCACTTCTCCCTCACACTGAGAGCTGATTCCTTGCAAGAAGTCGGGACTTGGTGGCCGTCGGGCTCAATGGCATTGACAGCCTGTCGGTTCCCCTGTCCTCAGTGTGGGGAAGGGACCGTGTGCCAGAGAACGGGGCTGCTCTGCCCCAGGACGTGCAGCTGTGGAGCTGGCACCGTCCCAGCAGGCTCCCGTGCTGGCTCACAGGGGTTCCCATTCCCGCGGAGCCTTTCCCTGCGGGCTGCGGTGCCTCCCCGCGTGCCCTCTGCACCGCTGCTGCCTGACCCCGGCTCAGGCCGAGGTGCCACCGAGGGACGCTTTCCTTGGGCAAAACTGGGGATTTGAGCACGGAGCCCGACCCGCTCGGGGCTGCTGTGAAGCCAGAGGCAGCTGGGGCAGCTGTGACACCGTCCGGGTGCTGCCACCGCCTCCAGGAGCAGCAACAGGGGCTCGCCGCGCGCGCCCTACCTGGCAGGGGTGCCCTCGAAGGCTTTGTCCGCCGCCTCCCCCAGCACCTCAGCTTTCAGGTAGTAGAGCATTCGCACGCGCAGCAGGACCCTGTCGCGGGGAGCAGAGACAACACCACGCACTAGCACAGAGCGCTCGGGACCTGGCTCGACACCCCTCACTCACGCCTTGCGAGGGAGCATCTAGGGCCAGCAAAGCCAGGGAAACCTCTCTGCGTTTCCCAGCCCATGGAACACCCATGTCCTCCATGGCATCTGTCCCCTCACAGAACGGGCACCGGGGTCACACGCAGGCGCCTGTCCTCTCGGGGTGCTGCAGGCGGGTGCTTGGTGCTCAGAACGTGCCTCCTGCTGCCTCTGCCTCTCACCGCGTGTGGACCCATAGGGCGGGCACGGACCCCGTGGCGAGGGGAGTCGGGCTAGGCTTGGCACCCTGCGGGCAGCAGCTCTGGATTAGCTGCTCTCCTATCAGCCTCTCAGGGACGTCTCGGCACAGCAGTCAGTGCCACCCTTTGCATGGCAGCTCTGCAGCTCTCACTGGCTCCACCCGCTGCACAGACTTTCAGCTGCTGCCAACACAGGCAGCTCAAAACGCTCCGTGGAGCCAAGATGAGACCTGCTCCAAGGAGGCAGGGCTGGGATTAAGATTCAGGCAGAGCATGGAGCTGCATTGGGCTGGGAACAAAGGAAGCTGGAGGACAGATGGCTGCAGCTCAGCCACTGGCTTAGAGATGCCATTGTACCAAATGTGGAAGATACCCGGTCAGTGAGAACCCTGCCCGGGCTGGGGGCCCTTCCCGATGTGACCCCTCTCCATGCTGCAGGCCCCCAACCCCACACACAGCGGCCACAGCTCCGTGCGCTGCCGTGGGCTCCTGTCCTCACTTGTTGCAGTGCTGTTTGAGGTGCTTCTTGTAGCTGTCGTCATGCAGGACGACCTCAGGGTTGCACGTGGCAAGCCAGTCCGCGTTCTTGAGCTCAGGGAGCAGCATCTGGTTCTTCGTCTTCTTGCCCTTCCTGCCTCTGGGCACCGGGGCTGACAAACCTGTGGGAGCAAGTGGGGCACATGAGCACGGTGGGCCGGGCGGGCGCAGGGCGGGCGCCGCCGTGGCTGGGCAGGGCAGCGGAGCGGGGGCGCCTGCAGAGCCCCCTCGTGCAGAGCGGGGGGCCAGGGCAGTGCCGCGTGTGCAGCCGCTCCCAGCGGGCTGCGAGCCCGGCCCCGCCGAGCACGGGCTGTGGGGGACGCGCCCCTCGCCGCTGCGCTCTGGGGCAGGCCTGGGGCGCCGGCCGGGCTGCACTGCCCACAACACAGAGCCAGCCGGAGGGCCAGGAAAGGCAGGGCCGGCCCTGCTGCACGAGGAGCGCGGCTCGACACCTTCCCCGCGGCGGGCGCTCACCCTGCGCCTGCTTCGGGCCCTGCTCGCGGGCCCTTTGCAGCCCTGCAGGCGCCGGGCGGGCTCCAGTGGCAGCCCCCGGGGACCCTTGCACAGGCCAAGGAACCCGGCGGCGCGCACGGCAGCCGCGCAGCTCCGCTGCCCCGGGGCAGCGACAGCGGGCTGCGGCGACAGCAGGCTGTGATGACAGTGGGCTGCGCCTCGGCAGCCCCAGCGCCCCGCACCTTTTCCTTTAGCCCCGAGCAGCACCGAGGCCGTGCAGGCCGTCCAAACTCCTGCGGATCCAGCGCGAGTCCCGCGGCGCCTTCACCCCGCACCTCCGTGCCGACATGCCAAGGCTTCTCCTCTGCCCGCAGACCTGGCACCCAGAGGAGACAATTCCAGGGGCTCGGTGCACATGCTCTGCCTGCCGCGGCTCTTGCCGCGCGTCCTGCCGCAGCGGTGGGAAGGTGGGAAGGCGCCGCGCTCGGAGGTGCCGTGCCCGTGAGCGGAGCGCGGCTGCGCACTGCAACGCGACTGCCAACGGGCTGGAAGGGCAAGGCTCCGATAAGACTCAAGCCGGGCTAAGTCGCGGAAAGGCTCCTTCTGTCGGTGTAGAAGTGGTAGCTCAGATGTAATTCAGCACCACAGCAGCAGGCAAACAGCCTTATTAAAACAGCCTTCTATCTTCTTAATGAGATTACAGAACTGGCTGATAAAAATGATGAGCAGAACTCTATTTAAACATGGCATGCTATTTGTGTTTAAACGTGCATGACACGAGATGGACATGTCATGGACAGGTCAGAACTGACACATCTCAAAGAGCTTTCGGTGTCTTTCACTACTGCCAGTTCAGGTGAGGGATGTGTAAATGAAGCACATGGGCTAAACCCAGAGCGTGGGACATTATCTCCAAGAAGAACTTGGGGATCACCACAGGAACTGTATCACTACGAGCCCACAGTACTAGGCTAAGCCCAGATAGACAGGGTTGACCCCTTTGAGGAGGTATAAAATATCAAAGAGAAGCATGAAAGGGACCATGATCGTGGGCACAGCTCTCCACAGAGCCTGGGCACCATGGCCAGTTTGGCCAGCAAATTGGGGAAAAAGTTCAAACAAGAAGCTCCAAAGCGGTCAAAGGCTGGAAAAAATCTTGATGATGTTTAAGGATTGTTCCCTGTTCTTTGCGACATGAAGAAGACTGTGTGGGAACCACTCACTGCAGGGGCTGGTTACACTTGGCAGAGATGCTGAATGGAAAAGGAATGCTGTTGTATCTTGCTCAGAAAGGTAAAATGACCTCCAGCGGCTGGAGCTGAGAATTAAACACACTTCCAACCTTGAAATAAGACGCGAGTTCACAGTGGAACGTGGAAATGACTCCTAGTGGGGTCACTATTGCTTGGAGTCTTCTGAGTGAGATTAGCCACCCACGTGGGCAGACACTCCTGCTCCGCCACGCGTCTGTGAAGAACCGACCTATGTCTGGGAAGAAGAGGCTTGGCAGTTCTGCCCCTTCATCTGCTCTTCAACACCTGGGTAGAATGGACAGCGCTGCCGTGATCTCAACACCCTCCTCATGCCTGCAGCTCCACGGTAGCAAAAGGACTCCAGCCCAGGGGACAGCTTGGGACCAGCAGTGGTCACCGGGACTTGTATCTCCGGGCTCGCTTGGTCTTGTGAGCTCTGTGCTAACGTTCAGCCTCTGGCAGGATGGGGTGGATCACATGGATTAGACCAAAGCTCTGAGGCGGGCTGGCTCTGCTCACCCGTTCGTAGTCACACACTTGAGTGGAACTGGGACTGAGAAAGGAGAGTCGCCAGGACGCACAAGCCGAGGTCTCGCAGGTCCTGCTGCCTTCTGCACGGCCGGCATTCCTGGAGCTCCCTGAAGACACACGGGGCACCTCACCCTCCTTGCTGGGCCAGGCAGGGCCGCGAGGCTGCTCCGCACCAGCAGCCTCTCCGCTCGCATCCGCATCCTGAGGTTAGTTTGATGGTTTCGCTGTCCATTCTGGCCAGGACCGCAGGTGGTTTCACAGCTGGGAGAAGCCATGCTGGTGGAGGAGCTGCTGGCTGCTTCCTTCTGCTAAATACCCAAATTTGGCAATTTTAGTGCTGCTCTTGCATTAAAGCATTACTGACCCTCCACCGAAACCGCCGCTTGTTCCTTACTTGGCTTTATCTCGGTCAAGCCCACTCGTGTCAGCCAATTGGTTGCTTACCCTTGTTGCGTTGCCACCGGGCTCTCAAGGAGAGCCCCGCTGCGTTTCCGAGCAGGGCTGAGCCGCAAGAGCGGGAGGCAGCGACCGAAGCGGCCGCTGAAGGCGACATGCTGAGACCTGGTGCTGTAAAGCAAGGCAGACGTTTCCAGACAGCAGGAAATGGTTATGTTGGGTCTTGAGACTGAACGGTGGTATTCTAGACACAAGCAACGCACGGGATGCTCGTGGGGCTCAGTGACAGCAGCCGAGAGTCTTGTGCCCCACGCCGTCCATGGGGCCACCTGGAAGGAGCCCCTCGTACGCTCTGTCACCTGGGCTTGCAGCCCCGCTGCCGGCGCCCAGAGCAGGGGCAGAGCCCCAGCCCCGCCGGCACTCACCTTGCGAGCGGTGCTGATGGAGCCGCGCGGCGCGCACGGCCGCGGCTCCGAGCCGGCCGCCTCAGGCTGCCCCGTTCCCTCGGGCAGAGCTGGCAGTGCCATGGGGCAGCGCCACGGGGCAGCGCCACGGGGCCCAGGCCGCAGCCCTCCCGCTGGCCTGGACACCAGCGGCTCTGCTCTTGTGCCATCACAGGCTGTGCGATGCTGTTTGCAGCGTGGCTGCGTTTGCTGCCCTGCTGCAGCTCCCAGGGAGAGCCCAGAGAGCACGTGCTGCAGCGCAGGCCGTGCAGTGCCCCAGGGCCAACGCGGAGCCACAGAGGCCAGCGGGACTGCGGGGCTGGGGCCGGCTCGGGGAGGCCCCGCTCAAAAGCCAAGGGGACACGAGAAGCCTCGGCCAAACACAGCGCCCATGGAATTAAAAACTCCACAGATGGGGCAATTGGTGGGGCATTACACTTCCCACAGGTGGGAAACAGTGTTTACCAGGACACAGGCAGCCACAGGCAGAGGTTTCTGCTGGGTTTAGGAGGCAGGGGGAGCCTGCGCCACCCCGGCAGGGCTCTGCGCTGGGGGGTTTGGGGACAAACCAGCAGCGGGGCCTCTCTGCCCACCAGGGCAGGCACTGCAGAGCAGGCAGCAGCGTGAGCGGAGGCCCAAGCTGAGCCGGCTGCCCAGGGCGGGCTCCCTGCTCGGGCTGCCCCCGGGCAGCGTCCCGCACAGCAACGCCCCGAGCAGCGCGACAGCAGCGGCCGCCTCTGCTTTAGGGCCAGGGCTGCGCAGCAGCGTTCCCGAACAAGGAGCACCCTGGGGACCAGCCCGGCCCCTGCACGCGACCCTCGCACCTGTCGCATCGAGGATGCTCACGCGGCAGCCGCCTCCACGACTCGCTGCCCCACACTGCGCTGTGCTGGGAGCCCTGAGGGCATCTCCAGCCCAGACAGGGATTAGCAGCACCCACTGAAGAGCTGGCTCCATCGCTGCTCCCCCCAAGAGGCTTCCTCTGCACCGGGTCTGGCCACAGAGGCACTGGGCACCACCCTCCCTGCTCGGCAGCCTCTGAGGGGCTGTGGAGGCTGGCAGCTGCCCCGCGCTGAGGAGGTGCCCGCGCCGCCGCAGCGGCACTCGCCACCAGTAGCAGTGCAATGGCAGAGAGAACACCCAATACCTGAGTGATTCTGCAGGGCCTGGTTCTGTCCGTCCTTTGTCGGCGTGATGAGGTCCCAGATAAAACTCTTAATCTTCTCATCCCCTTTGTAGTGCTTCACACAGTAGACCAGCAAGGCCCGACAAATCATCTCCATGTCCTTCTCATTCAGATGCCACTTGAACCGCCCGTGGGTCAGGATATCTTTCCAGCGTCCCCAGCTGGAACACAAACACAGTGAATGCTTCTGAGCAACCAGAGACACCTCCAGTGCCTTCCTGGCACGAAGCCATAGCCCTAACATGGGTCCCCACGGACAGGGGTTGTTCTGCCCCTGCATTAGGAGAGCCCGGAGAAGGGAGAGGTCTGCTTAGGATGGACCATGGCAGACGTAGGAGCAGGATGTGGGAGCCCTCATTGCTGCCTGTCCATGTTCTCGTCCCAGCCCAGGTGTCCCCTCTGGGCCAAACAGGGCAAGTCCCACCACAGAAGTCACTGTGGAGGGGAGGGGACACTGCTTGGGGCTGCCATCGCCCGCGAGGGACTGAGGAAGGCGGTGCCCGGCGTGCGCGGGGAGCTGGAGGCCACGGGCAGGCTGCTCGGGGAGGTGAGACCCACCCGAATATGAGCAGGTTTTTCTCCACGCGGAAGCACTCGGCCCGCAGGTACCGCCGCGTCTTCTCGTTGAAGCGCCGCGAGCGCGTGGGCCGCTCATCAGAGTCACTGTCCAGCTCGGAGAACTCCATCAGCTCGTCCTCCTCGAAGGAGTTGTAGTGTTTGGTCTGCTTCCGCACCCGGGGCCTGTCAATGACCAAGCTCTCCTGCGAGGGACACAGGGAAAAGGGGAACACGCTTGCGTGAGGGCAGACACGGCCTCTGCTTCGGGGCACAGGGGCTGCCCTCCCAGCTCTGCCCGTCCCTCCAGGCCAGGACTACGTCCAGCACCCGCTTTGCTGCTGGCCAACCCCGCGCAGTTAACACCTTGCCCCAGTTAAGGATGCCCTAAGGCCACCTGCTCCTCCTCAGCTGTGTGCAGCTTTGTGTGCAACCACGAGGAGATTCCTGTCCAGCTCAACAGCCTGCCCGAACAACCGCAGGCTCCGGTTCCAGCCAGGGATGGAGGATTCAGCTTGCAAAGCCCAGCCCACCCAGCAAGGCCCCCACCGAGCACCCTGCAGGACACAGGGCAATTTCTGTGCCCAAGAGAGGTACGTGGCCCTGGAACAAGACACCAGCTATGGAGAAGGTGCAGGAGAATTCACTGGCATGGACGTGCCTCTTCTCCCCTCACTGCTGCTGGATGCACCCAGAACCATCACCGAGCCCTCTAACCCCGTGCAGCTTTGAAGCACGTTGGGATGGGCGCGCAAACACCCACCTCCTGCTATCCCTGCTCAGGCAACAGCCTCTGCGGAGCCGCCAGGCCGCCCTCCCGCTGCTGTGCGGAGCTGGGCCGGGCCGCGCAGGCGCCGCTCCGCTCCGGGCGCACGGAGCAGCCCCATCCGCGCCCAGGCAGGCAGCGAGGCGCCCGCCTCCCCTCAGGCCCCTGCCAGGTCCGTGCCCTCCCAGCGGGCTCCTTCAGTAGCCTTCAGGGGCTGCGAAGAAGGGCGCTGCTCCCGGGAGATGCTGCCCAGGGACACGTGGGCAACGCTGGCAGATCAGCTGAAGCCAAGCCCCAGCCTCCCAGGGTTCCGGCTACCACGTTTCTGCACAGGAACGGCTGGGAAGGAGCTGATTTCCCAGGGAGAGCAGCAGGGAAGACTCTAAGAGCATCCATGTACCAACCACCTGCCCCCATCCTGCGTGGACACGGCAACGGGCTCCATCCCTCGCTCCATCACTGGCCCGAGAGCAGGGAGAGGGGCTGCGACCGCAGCCGCAGACACCACGCGCAGCTGGGGCCAGTTCCCACCTCACCAGGCTTGGGAGCAGCTGCAGCACAGACCTGTTGGCCCCCTCATCCCCAGCGCCCCAGAACCTGCCAGGCAGACACATCCAAAATGTGGCTTCAGGGCAACAGGGGCTTGGCCAGCCGTTCTGGGCCAACCTTCCAGGGCAGTGTCTCGTGGAAACACAGTACTTGATGAGCTGAGCAGCAGCTGCTCTGCAGCAGAAGCCCCGCAGCTGCACTCTGGAGGATGGGAGGAGGAGGATGGTGCCGGGCTGGGGTCAGGTCCGCTGCAGAGCACACGAGCACAGCGGGAGCTGCATCTTACCTTCTCGTTCTTGGCATCGGTGTCCAGCTCTGCTATCTTCGCCCACTTCTGCCAGAAGTTGGGGTCATCTAAGGAAATGTCAGTTCTGTTTCCTGATGCTACAAAGCTGGCCTGGGAAAGAAAGAAGAGCAAGGAACCTCTAGCTTGCAGCCCACCCTTCAGCTGTGCTTCCTCGCAGACCCCCCAGCACTTCTGTGAAGGGTGGAGGGGCTCTCTGCCAGGCAGCATCACACCCCGTGGTGACACACGCCAACGGACTCTCTGCTTAAGGGAGCTGAGCCCACCTCCTCCATGTCCTTCTGCCTCCTCGAAACGGAGCCTGGGCTGTGCCCCTGCAAGCAGAGGGGCGCCCGAGGACCTGTGCTCCTGGCACTGTCTGGGAAGTGCGGCACAGTGCTGGGTGCCCAGGCATCTGCCAGGAAGCACGGCACAGCACGGGGTGCCCAGGCACCGGTCGGGAAGCGCGGCACAGCACGGGGTGCCCAGGCACTGGCAGGGAAGCGCGACACAGTGTGGGGTGCCCAGGCACTGGCCGGGAAGCGCGGCACAGCACTGGGTGCCCAGGCACTGGCCGGGAAGCACGGCACAGCGCTGGGTGCCCAGGCACTGGCCGGGAAGCGCGGCACAGCGCTGGGTGCCCAGGCACTGGCCGGGAAGCGCGGCACAGTGCTGGGTGCCCAGACTGCCTCCCCAGGCAGCCCCAGGGCTCTGCTCCCTGCACTGCGAGGGCCCCACAGCCTGGGGCATGGCGCAGCTCGGCAGCCACCTCCCGCCTCCACCGCGAGGCTCTCCCTGCAGGGGCAGGTTCTAGGGCAGCACAAGAGCGAGGCAGGATGCAGAGAGGGGCTGGGCTGCAGGGCACTTTGCTGCGAGGTGCCACAACACCTTCCCACACTGGCAGGGACCTAGGGCTGCAAGTGCAACCCAGGCCATGGTGCCCTCCTTGCTGCCATGCTGCACACTGGCCTGTGTCCAAGCAAGGTCCTTCCCTGGGGCAGAGGATAAGCCTAGGAGCTGGGCTGCCCTTTGGCTACAGCCTCACCTAAGGGGCGAACCCCACACGACTGTGCTGCGCCCCACTACGCGCTCACGTATCGAGCACAACCCGGAGAGGGACTCCAGAGGGAATGGCTGCCCTGCAGAGCGCAGCGCACCTTGGCAAAGGTGGATCCCTTGCCCTCCGACTGGATTGTGATGGTCTGGGTGCGGCGCTGCAGGATCTGGTCAATGTCCTCCTCGCAGAACTTGGATCCTTCGTCCTCCTCGTCCATGAGGGCGCCGTAGGCACCTTTCCGCAGCAGGTCCTCCACCTCCATCTTCGAGAGCTGCTGAACCTGCCCAAAGCACACGGGCATCACCAACCCTGTGCCAGCTGCCCTGGGGGATGGCTCCTCTCTCTGCCCCGCGAGCGAGGGTTGAAAGGCACCAAGTTGGCCCAGATTTCCCCCTGCCACTACGGGCAGGCTTTGGTAGCAGAGGAGCAGGAGGAGCAGACAAGCAAGGGAAGTCAACTAGTTCTGTCTGCTTTTGGCCTGGGCAAGGCTGGCACTGCCTGCGCTGCAGGGACCAGCTAGGTGCTCCGGTGTCCTTGTGTCAGCACTGATCCCCACAGACCCCTAGGTTTCCGCCTAGCTAGGCAGACACGTCCTTCCCACACTGAAGGCAAGGCTTTGGTTGCCTACTCATCACACACACAGCCCTGCCCACCACCACCTGCCACAGGGAGCACAGGGACTGGCGCAGGCAGGAGGAGAGGTCTCCCGCCCCACGTCCCGCCCAGGGCCACCCTCCCAGCAGCCTACCCCGTTGGTGCTGCCCTTGCGGTTGATGTCCTGCAGCACAGCCTTATCCAGGCCCAGCTTCAGACTGGCCTTGTCAAACATCTCCCGCTCGTAGGAGTTCCTGGTGATGAGGCGATAGACCTTCACCGCCTTGCTCTGCCCGATCCGGTGGCAGCGAGCTTGAGCCTGCGACGGCAGGGGACACAGCTTCAAACCCAGCGAACCCGGCCCGGCAGCGACTGCTCAGCTTGGGGCACCCGCCTCGGCCACGGGCACCCCCTGGCTCGGCCAACCCCCTGGGCTGGCACTGGGCCCCGCGTGCTCCTGGGCAGGCACTGTGCCCTGTGCCACCGGGCAGCCTGTGTGCCCCGCACGCAGTGATGGGCACCCAGCACCCCACACCCGCTCTGCAGCCCTCCTGCGCGGCCAGAGCCACGCTACTTACACAGCCAGGACCTCTGCCAGGACACGCTCCCCTGCCTGCCCCAGAGCAGCACCCCGTGCCCTGGACGGTGGGCACAGGGGCCCTTCTCCCCCTCGCGGGCACGGTTGTGCTACGGCCCCTCCCAACTGCCTCGTGTCTCTCGCAGTGCTCGGAGCCCGGCCTGTTACCTGCAGGTCGTTCTGCGGGTTCCAGTCCGAGTCAAAGATGATGCAGGTGTCGGCAGCAGTGAGGTTGATGCCCAGCCCGCCCGCCCGCGTGCACAGCAGAAAGACAAAGCGGTCCGAGTCGGGCTTGCAGAAGCGGTCGATGGCGGCCTGGCGCAGGTTCCCCCGCACACGCCCATCGATGCGCTCATACGTGTACCTGCTCCGAGAGGGGAGAGGTGAGAGCAGGGCCTCCAGGGGCTGCCGCGACCGACCGTCCGGGGGCCTTCCCCCAGGCTCTGCGTGCCAGGGCAGCCAGGCTGGGTTTGCTGGCAGGACCGGTGCACAGATGGAGGCTCAGTCCTCATCAGCCTCCACACGCATGGCTGATGCCAAGAGCCATTCCTGTGACGATGGCACAACCATCACAACCCTGCACTCGGTGTGGGGATGCAGGACTCACGGGACCTGGCAGAACCAGGACCAAGGGAAGGGCCTGCTCCTCTCTGATGTCTCCTAGGACCAGCTCCAGGCAATGCAAAATGGGTGAGCCGCCTAGCTGGGGGGTCTCTGCACATGCCAGCAGGTAGCCTGCAACTCAGGTCCCTTGGTTCGTAGGCACAGAGTGGCCAACAGCCCTCCTAGGCTCTCCCCACCCTGTATCTGCAGCCTCGGAGGGACACAACATGGAAGAGCCATGGTGGATGCCCAGGTGTGTACTAACCTCCTCTGAATGAGATAGTCCTCCAGGATGTCGAGGCAGCGCACCATCTGGGAGAAGATGAGCACCTTGTGCCCACCGGCGATCAGCTTGGGAAGCAGCTTATCAATCAGCACCAGCTTCCCGGCCGCCTGGATCATTGCCTGCAGCTGGAAGTCTGGTGCCTCTGGGCTGTGTGTTTTACGGAAGTCTTCCAGGATCTTCTCCTCTGCCCCTGTCAGGTGAGAAGGGAAGTGAGCTCTGGACGGAGCCCTTGTTCTGCCTCTTGACTGGACAGGCAGTGCAGTTGCCCCCAGTCTCCTGCTTGGGGCAACAGCAAGTCGACCTGCAAAGGACAGACCCCATGCAGCAACCTGTGCTTACCCAGCAGCAGGTTGGACTAGGACCTACATTCACTTCTACCACTCTAAGTGTTCCTCACAGCTTGCACCAGCTCCTGGCAGAGAGAACCGGGTTAGGATGCCGGAGAGAATCCCTCTCCAGGACGCCTCCAACCCTGGTTTGTGCAGAGAACCTGGCGAGACCCCGAGGCTGTTGCTGCCTGCCAGCAAGCAAGGGAAGCCAGCCCAGACTGCGAGCCCAGGGAAGGGCCCTGGGCTGACCACAAGAGCTGCAGGGCAGATCACAGCGTCCTACACCGGGCTTGCAGGGAGCGCAGACTCCCCCTGAGCTCCTGCACACAGGCCCTCACCGTTGATGAGATACGGGTGGTTGCAACACTTCCGCAGCTCCATCATGGTGTTGATGAGGTTGGGCATATTGTGCTGGTTGGCGCCCTTGGAAAGGAAGGAGAAGTTCTTCTCCAGGATGGCCCGGTAGTATTTCTTCTGGATATTGGTCAGCTCCACCTCAATGATGGTCTCCTGCTTGGGTGCCAGATTCTTCTCCACATCATCCTTCAAACGCCGCAGCATCATGGGCTTCAGGATGGATTGCAGCTTCTTCACCTGTCAGAGCAAGCACCGACATTCATTGCCCTCCCTGCCTTTCACGCGCATGGTGAGAGTGCAGAAGGGTCTGCAGGGGGTCTCTGCAACACCAGAGACCCCCTGGGCTGGAAACCCACCACAGGTGGCCCAGTGCTCAACAGCCCAGAGCACCACAGCAACTGCTTTACCGAGAACCAGGGCAACTTTAGGGGGTGGCTTCCTTAGGGCAGGCACACGAGTGACTGGTCCTGTGTCATGAAACCTGCAGCGCCTCTGCTGAATGCATCAGAAGCCCCGTGGTGAAGAGGAGTCAGCAGATGGACTTCTCAGCCAAGGATGTGTTTGCAGGTAGTCCCCTGCAGGGACTTCCTCCTTCCATAGCTCACCTTCTACCAACCTACCCATTTTACCAACCTGAGGGTCTACTATAATGCAATGACTGGCTGGGTAAATGAGAGAAAAGCAGCAGATGTTGTCTCCCTTGACTCCAGTAAGGCTTTCAACACTCTTCCATCAGAAGCTCATGTGCAATCTGATGAAGTACAGCCCAGACAAGCACACAGTGAGAACCGACCGAATGGCAGAGCTCAGAAGGCCCATGGCAGCCTGGGCTGCATCAGGAATAGTGTTACCAGCAGGCCAGAAGAGGTGGTTCCCCCTCTGCCCAGCCCTGGTGAGGCCACATCTGCAGTACTTCAACAAGTCTACAAGAGAGATATGGAAGCACTGGAAAGAGCCTGTAGCACAGGGCTACAAAGATGGCTAGGAGCAGCTCTCCTGCGAGGAAAGGTTGAGAAAGTTGGGGCAGTTTAGCCTGCAGGAGCCTGAGATACTTGTACGCAAATGTCTTCAGGGAAGGTGTCAGGAGGATGTCAGGTTTCTCCCAAAGGCGCATAGTGACGGGACGAGAGGCAACGGGCACACACTGAAACACAGAAGCTCTGTCTGAATCTGAATTTTTTAACAGTGTGTGCGACAGCACTGGAACCAGATGCCCAGAGAGGCTGTGGAATCTCCTGCCTTGAAGATCTTCAAAAGCTGCCTGGACAGGAACCTGGGCAACAGGCTCTAGGTGACCCTGGTTGAGCAGGGACTCAGATGATCTCTAAAGATTCCCTCCAACCTCAGCCATTCTGTGCTTTCCCCAAGTGCTTGGTGTCTGGCCCACTGCCACAGCAAACCCGGGGCTCCCAGTTCACCCTGAGTGCCATGTGGCACACGGAAACACCAAGCAAGGGCGGCACGTCTGCGGAGGGGGCAGAGCTGGCAGCTCCAAGAGCGGCGGAGATGCTGCTTGCTCCATGTTTCCCCGCACCCCAGAGCCTGCTCTCAGAGGCTTGTGATCTCTGTGAAATCTCCATTTCAGCCAGGTACTCAAGTGGCAACAGCAGAGCCTAACCAACTGCGCTGCTTCCAGTGCCCCACACTCAGGCCTGATTCGGAGGACAGCCCCCCAGGTGCACCCAGGTGAGAGTGGGTGACAAACCAAGTCCCAGACCTTCCCACTGCCCTAAACTCCTGTGCTTCTCAGGGACAGGAAGTGCTGGGAAAGTGGGATGCACTGAGCTGCACAGGCATGCAGGGGAAGAAGGGAGCTGGGCGGAGAGCAGATCGGGATCTTGGCACAGCGTGGACTCCAAAGCTCAGAGCTGAGTCAAGGGCTGCAGCTCTGCACCTTGAAAGGAGCTGACCTTTAAGGAGTGAGGGATAAAATTTGCTCCAGTGAAGCACGTGTCTGAGGGTGGCCCTGGACTCGTGTTCAGGTGCCCCAAGGTCTGTGGTAACAGTCACAAGTCTCAGGGCCCTTCTTAGTACCTGTTCCTCTGTCTTCAGGTCCCCAAACTCCTCCAGAAAGGCAGTCTCCGAGGGGAACTGCTGCGGCTCCAGGAAATTCAGGAGGCTGAAGAGCTCCTCCACCGAGTTCTGCAGGGGCGTCCCTGTCAACAGCACCTTGTGCTCCTGGGACACATAAAACAACAGGTTCAGACCCGCCGGCTGGGCCCAGTGTCCCCTGCCTGGAGACGTGTGTGCTCCCAGGAGGGGTGCTGGCTGGCGCCAACAGCACCGGCTCCTGCTGCCCAAGTCTCTCCTCCGAACGCAGGGTCCAGTTCTGTGCAGCAAGAGCCAACCCTGAGAGTCCCACGTTGCCCCCAGACCCGGGCGGCTGCCCCGCTCCCGCTCCTCGGGCAGGATCTCTCTCTCCAGCGCTCTGCAAGAGCACAGCGGGGAGCTCGGCCTGGAAGGGGTGCTCTGGAAAGGGCAGCTGATTCCGTCCTGCAGCAACCACCACTCTGGACCTTGACTTCCCCCCTGGGATACTGAGGTGCACCAGAGATCTGCTGCTAGGGCCAGTGCGTGCAGAGTGCTCCAAAACGAGCCGGGGTCTCTGACAGCGCCAAGTGTTTGAGAACATGGAAGGGCTCTTCCTGGAGCTTCTCCGTGCTTGTATAGGCACAGCTAAAAGGAGACGCGGGTCCAGGTGACCCTTCAAATGCTCTGAGCGTGGGAAAGGGCTGGGCCTGGGGAGAAGGTGCTCCCTTCCCGGGGCAGACAGCAGGGCTCCATCGCCAGGCGCTGCCACCCGCTGCCACCAGGCTCACCCGCTGCTCTGCTGCAGGGGACAGGGCCAGCAGCCCAGCAGGGCTGTGAGCGACCAACAGCCTCCCTCTCTGCAGCGCAGGAGAGGAGCTGGGCACCAAGCCCCGCTGCCCAGGGCAGCTCAGTGACCGCTTGCCACAACACCCCGTCCCGCAATCCGTCCCTGGCGGGGACCGACCCCGTGGCTGCGGAGCGGGGAAAGCAGAGCGTGACTCCTGCAGCCCTGCCAGCACAGCCCAAGGGTGCCACGGGCTGTGGCCTCTGCGCTGCAGCAGCCTCAAGCACCGCGCGGCTGCACAGCCCCCTGCACGGGGCACCTGAGGATACGGGCAGCGTGCAGACATCTGGCCAGATGTGGGTTAATGTCCCACTTCAGCAGCAAAGGGAATTTGTGGCAGGCACCGTCATCCACCAAACTGCTCCCCCAGCACCAGCACCGCTTCAGTGATCTGCCGGGCCTCGGACAGGGTCTCCTCTGAGACTGGAAGCGCCCAGGCCCAGCACTGGGCCCCTGGCTGTGGTGCCTGCCCTCTCGGCTGGCAGGTGGGACCGGGCAGGGCGCTCACCAGGGCCATGAGCTTGAGCCCCTCCAGCAGCTTGCAGTTCCTGTTCTTCAGGCGGTGTGCCTCGTCTATGACCACGCAGCGCCACTGGATCTTCTTCAGCTCGGGGCAGTCAGCGAGGATCATCTCAAAGGTGGTGATAACCACCTGGAACTTGAAGATCCCAGGGAGAGGGTTACCCTACGGTGACAGAAACCAGAGGCAGCGCATGACTCCTGCAAGGCAGCCCAACAGTAGCTGTCCTGACAGACACACATCCCTAACACTCCACGCAGGCTTCCCGCCCTGTCAGTGAGGGAATCCTATCTGGGGTCTCCTGGTTCACCTTCCACAAGCAGCAGGCAGGTTCCTTCGTGTCTCTGCACGCTGACTACCGGCCATGCCTCTCCCGCTCAGACCTTGCACCGGGGCAGGCAGCCGAGCCTGGCCAGAAGTTGCAGCTGGGATTCTGCAATGTTTTCCCCTTTCTGCACAAGTCTGACCTGTTCTTCACCGATACATGGTGCACCCCGGAGCCCATGCCAGCAAACGGGTCTTAAAAGATCACCCTGCCCTCTCTAGATGAACCACAAGCTGCACATGTACGTGAGGCTTCCTAAATAAAGGGAGGCAGGGCTGGAGAGCGCCTGCTGGGAGCACCGCCCGCAGGAATCACCTGCGTGTCCCTGTACACCATCTCATACTGCTGGATCATCTGGCGGCTGATCTGGCTGCCGTGGTACACGATGGCGTTCATCTCCGTCCACGTGCGGAACTCCCTCTCCCAGTTGGTGATGGTGGAGAGGGGTGCGATGATGAGGAAGGGGCCATGAATGCCCATCAAGAAGATTTCTGAGAGGAACGTGATCGACTGGATGGTCTTCCCCAGCCCCATCTCATCAGCCAGGATGCAGTTCTTCCTGTGGAGGCAGACAGGTACATTAACAGGCCTGGTAGGAGCAAGAACCACCCTGCCGCTGTCTCCCCAGGAGGACAGCAGACATGTCCCCTCCACCTGCAGGAACCCTGTGGCAACAGCAGAGCAATACAGGAGGCCAAGACTGTCACTCCACCCAGTCACTCACAAATGATGAACCCAAAGCTAGTGTGATAGATGCCTTTGGGTGCCAGGGAAAGACATCTTCGATGGCCTGCTGCAGCCAAGGACAAGTGTATTTCTGCATTTCTGCCACAAGAAAGGGTCACCAGCAGCCCGGCTGATGCCAAAATTCAGCTGCATTTTAGATTCCTCTCCAAATCAGTATCCACCAGAGAGAAATATTCCTAAAGACTGAATTGCAAAACTCAAACAAGTACAGTTCTTTGCCTGTCTCCTCCAGCACTGGCAGGTCTCACTGGCTCCTGGCAGGTCCCTGCTCGTTGGCTCCGCTCCCCTGGCCCAGCTGCTCCCACAAGAGCAGCCCGTGCCCGCACTGAGGTCACGCACTCAGCGGGACTCCTTTGGGCAGCACGGGGCTCCAGCCCCTCCTCACCTGTTGTACCAGTTAAAGAGCAGCCAGTTCATTCCCTCCAGCTGATACTCCCGCAGCTGGTTACTGTTCTTATATTCCCGGGATTTCTCCAGTTTCTGCCAGGACTCAGATGCCGGGCGCTCCTAGGAGAGAGCAGCAGCAAGATCCGTGGGGAGGCAGAGGCCATTGCTCAGTGTGGCGAGGCCCCACTTCTGGGCCTGCACCTCAGGACAACACTTCCAAACAGACATCAACACTCAGATGATTCAGAGAGGGGCCTCAGCCTCAGCACCCCACCCTCAGCTCCTGCTGCCCCATCCGGAGGGGAAGATGTGGGGCTGGCACTTAAAGCACCAGGGCCAGCGCTGCTGGATCTTGGCAAAACACAGCCCAGCCCTGCCCTGCCAGGGCAGCGAGCTCCCAGCCGGGTACGTTACCTCTGGGTACGTTACCATGTGCTTGATTTCTGGTGGGATTTGGAGGGCTTCAAACTCTTTGATCTTCCCTGGGTCGACATCCTCCTCCAGCTCCCAGGTGCTCTCCTCGTAGGGCAGCGAGCACCACTTGACCAGGTAGTGAGTCACCTCCTGCAGTGCAGAGACACACAGGCTGGCAGGGCAGCGCAGCACTCGCCTGCAGCTCAGCCAAACACCCGGCCACGGGCTCGGGCGGGCGGCAGCCACAAGGACACTGAGCCGCCCAGAAATGATCTCCCTGTGCCCAAGGATGCCCGGACAGGATTCAGGTTGTGCGAGGCTGGGAAAGCCTCCGATTGCCAAATACTGGATGTGCTCCCACAGCCCAAGCCTCCCACCAAGCCGCTCTCCCGCGCAAGGCAGCCGCTCACCTCCCCGGTGTCTGGGTCCTTGGTGTGGGCCACCTCCAGGATCCGATCCACCTCCACATAGTCGGGGTTGAACAAATCCTCGTCAGGCTGGCAGGGCAGAGAAGAAAGAGAGAGTGCAGCTCAGGGTGGTGCCCGGGCTAAAGAGACGGCGGCGCAAGGACGCAGCTGTGGGACGTGTCCCCAGGCTGCCGCTGGGTGCAGCACGGGGAGCACCCACACGAGCAGCCACAGACACGTGCCCAGGGCAGGGGCCGCGGCCAGCCCTGCAGAGGGCACATGTGGGGCTCTGTAGGCACCTGGCTCTGCGCCGCAAGGCACCCCCTGCCCGAGCCCCGGAGCGGGACCACCGCGGTGCAGAGCCACGCACAGCACCCCGGGCCTCCCGCGCACCCAAACCAACCCCGAGCCTCCCACCAAGGACAGCGCCTTGCTCCCTATCCCTGCGTGTGTCTATCTCCTCGCACTTCCAGCTCCGCAGCAACCATTGCCAAGGGAAGAGCTCATCCCCACCCGGAGCAGGGACTGGGAAGGCCTGTGGAACAGCACTCCTTTGGAAAGACACGTGCCCATTGCTGAGGAATGAGAGGAAATGGGCTTCTCTGGGCCCCACCTGGCCACGTGCAGCAGCACTTGCTTCTTGCTGGATCACTAGTGGTGTGGTGCACTCAAACACAGGCTTTACTGGGAAAAAAACACCCAACCAAAACTGATTCAGGAGTGAGAAATCGGAGCCCCTGCAGGCTTTGCACGCCCATGCATGCAGCAATCTGTGTAGCCTACTGGCCTGATTTACACTTGCAAGGAGCAATTCAAGGAGAACCAGTGACTACCTCTGGAGCAGCAAGATAAATCACAGAACAGTGTGCGTTAAACAGGATGAATCTGCTACCGGAGCAGAGCAGGCAGCGGCCCCACCCCTCAGGGGCTGCCCCTCGGCAGCCCCGCTGTGCCGTGGGGAGGCACAAGCCCCATGGACACAGAGGCGCCTCCAGCACCTCCCTCCGAGGCCGCACGTCACTGTGCGCCCCTGCTCCAGAGCCGGCTGTGACCCCTGCCCGTGCCTGCTCCGGGGACAGCAGCACAGGTAGGTGGTGAGGGCGCTGCCGGGCACCAGCGGCGCCTCCTGCTCCCCTGCAGGCCGCCGCAGAGGGGCTGGTGCGGCGCCGGCGCCGGCGGGACGCGCGCAGGGCTCCGCGCAGCCTGGCAGGCTGGCCTGGGCCATGGGGGAGCCCTGACCGGCCAGCCCCAGCCAGGGCTTCTGGCTGCGGAGCTGCTCTCCCCTGGCAGGGCGATGCCGGAGGCAGCGCGGGGCACTCTGCCCGCCCGGCTGCCACACCAGTGCCAGCTGTGCCACACGGAGAGAAAGGCAACCTGCTGCACTCAGCCCTCACCTCTGTGAAAATATGCTTCATCTGCGCTTGCTTGTTGCGAAAGCGCTTGATCTTCTGAGAAATCCTGGGGTCCTTCTCCAGCTCCTCCAGCGTTGCCCACTTACAGTGAAGGTAGGAGCTGCAGAGAGAAATCAAGGGGACACGATAGAGGCCTCTGGGCAAAGCCCCCATCTGCCAAAGAGACAAGCGGGGAGCTCCCCGCAATGCAGAGAGCCTCGAGCTCACGACACGTAGCGGGGCACCCCATGCCGCAGAATGTGTTGGCCTGGGGCCTGACCCATGCTCAGCACTGCAGCTGCACTGGTGCTGCAGCTCCTGCAAGCTGCAGGGAGCCGGGCTGGGCAGCAGGGCTGCAGCTGCACTGGTGCTGCAGCTCCTGCAAGCTGCAGGGAGCCGGGATGGGCAGCAGGGCTGCAGCTGCACTGGTGCTGCGGCTCCTGCAAGCCGCAGGGAGCCGGGCTGGGCAGCAGGGCTGCAGCTGCACTGGTGCTGCAGCTCCTGCAAGCTGCAGGGAGCTGGGATGGGCAGCAGGGCTGCAGCTGGGGGGTGGAGGCGAGACAGGGTTGAGTGAGGCCTGTCCCCCTCTCCTGCGCACGACCCACCGCGGGGCAAGAGCAAAGGCCGCACGTACAAGTTCCTGTACTTGACGTAGAACTCCTCCATCTCGTAGGCCAGGCCTCCGGGGTGAGCCTGAAACCAAGGCAGGACAGTCAGCAACAGCCTCGGGAACGACGGGGAGGCTCCTCCTGCAGCTGGGCCCGGCCAGGCCTCCCGCCCGGCCACCGGCTGAGCCTTGAGGACAGTGGGGAGCGCTCAGCATGCAGGGGCTCCGTGGTCCCCGCAGGAGCCCGGTGCGGGACGGCACTGGAGCACAAGGGCCTCCAACACCTCTGGGAGAGCAGGCCAGCCCTCGCTCCCCTCCATCAGGGACCCTCCGGTGCCCAGCGCAGGACAGGCACCACACGGATCCCCAACCCCAAGGGGCGTCCCCCTCAGCAAGGGAGCAGGGCAGGGGGTGGCTTGGCCGGGCTGAGCAGTGCCACGCGCCCCGTCCTGCGGCTGTGGGGCAGCCAGGACCGCTCCTGCTCTGCCCGGGACTGTCGCCCCCACTGACATCGTGCCCACTCACCTCCTTCTGCACCATTCTGGAGGCCAGGATCTTCTCGATGATGTTGGCATCATCCTCGGGAGGCTCCTGGGGACACCGGGAGGAAGGCAGCACATTGGTTTCCCGGCTGCTGCTGTGCGTGGCCGCTGGCAGCCTCCCTGCACAGCGCGGGAGCCGTCCGTGCCGCGCCACCGGCCGCGCAGGCAATGCCAGTGCGGTGGGACGTGCAGAGCAGGGGCTGGAGGAGCTTGGCCAGGCGCTGTCAGCCCCGCTGCGCTCACCCCGACAGAGCCTTCTGGCCCGGCCACGCACAGCCCGGAGCGGGCAGGGGGCACAGGAGGCTGCACCAAGCCCCACTAACAGACCACACAGCAGCAACCCAGACCTGCTTCTTCAGACAGGGATGGCAGGGACAGGCCACACGGCTCCAGCTCCATGCTCAGCTGCTGGCTGGCAGGCACGTGGCCAACTCCATCCTGCCCCCTTAAGCCCAGCAGTTTCAGTGGCCATGCCTACGGGGCAGAGGCAGGCGAGCCGTGCCCAGGCCAGCGGGGACACGGGGCTCCCAGCAGGGCAGGGAGCAGCACCCTGGCCCCCGCGCCACCCTCAGTGACGCGCCCAGGGATGCCCATGTGTGCCCGGGCCCCCCGGGCAGCTCGGCCCTCCTGCCCGGTGCTGGCAGGGTGGGCGAGGGGGGCACACAGAGGGGCCCCCACTGCAGCCGGGCGGACAGCACCAGCCCCCCAAGGCTTGTAGCCACCGCGGGGCTCCTGCGCGCCTGGCTGCACCGGGACAGTGCCTGGTAGGGGCTGTGCGAGCACAGGTACCACCAGCACTGCCGTTTGCCCCGCTGCGGCGCGTGAGCGCACTGGTTGCAGCGTAAGGGCACTGCCGGAGCAGCGCGGGAAGCTGGGAATCTCTCCAAGGCCAGGCCAGGCTGGTGGGGCCAGGCCGTGGCCAGCCCGTGGGCAGCAGCACCAGGCCCAGGCTGTCACACCAGCTCATGTGCACGGGACCCAGTCCAGAGCTGCCAGGGAGCCCAGGGCCAGGTGCGACCGGGGGAGCCCCTGAGCCGCACGAAGCTGCCTCCTCTCCTGCTGCATGCGCTGCCGCTGCTGCAAAGCAGCCCCACACCCTCCCAGACAGGCGCATTCCCACCCCGTCCAGCACTGGGACCCTCTCCTCCTCCACACTGTGGGGCACGCGGGGAGGCAGGAGGCCCTTGGGCCTGTGGCCAGCCCTACCTCTGCCTGCCACGCCAGGGTGGAGGCGGAGAGCGCGGAGGTGCGCCCGGCTCCCAGCACGGCTATCGTTTCGCCGTCATCATCCACCACCTTGAAATCCAGGTCCTCGTTGTACTTCCTCCTCTTCACCTGGCGTCCTGAGCGGCGTTTCTGCGTGCCGGACAAGAAGGGATATGTGGGGACAGCGGTGGCGCAGGGCCAGGCGCTCATGCCTGGCCCTGCAGTGCCCACACGAGCTCTGTGGTGCCCACGCCGACCCCGTGCCGGCCAGTCATGCTGCAGCTGGACACCGCAGCCGTGCGCACCGGGTGCCTCGGGGCAGAGTGCATGTCACAGCACCTGGGCAGGAGCCTTGTGGTGCCGGGGCCACCAGCCCCTGCCCACCCAGAGGCCGCGCTGAGGCCGGGCACAGGGCCCAGGAGGGCGCGGGCTCCTCCGGCCGCGCTCACGCCACAGCGGCCCCAACACAGCTGCCCACGACGCACTCCCGCTCACAGCGCGGTGCCGCACGCACCTGGCTGTCAGCCGACTCAGCAGACTCCTCTGGGCTCTGCGCCGACAGGCTCAGGTGATCGTGATCCAGCTCCAGGCTCTCCACAGGGATCTCATTTTTCCTCTTCCCCTTCTTCTTCTTCTCCACGGGCGTGGGCCCCTGCTCCTTGCTGCCAGGACAGAGGCGCAGTTACCCCCAGCCGGCGAGGGCCAGGAGGCCGAGCCCACCACCGAGCCCTTGTCCCAGGGTAGGGACAAGACCAGCAGGCTGAGCCCATGGGAGCGGGGAGCTTGGGATGCAGTGTCCCGGGTGGAAGGAAGAGCCCAGTCTGCCCACAAGGGCCCCTTTCCCCACGCAGGGTGACCTCTCCTTGGTGCCCAGCACAGCAGCCTCTGTGCAAGCCGGGGTTGTGTCCAGCCTGGGTACAAGGAGGATTCCCTCCACATACCAAGCCCTGCTTCCAGCTCCACCAACCGACTCAGCAGCTCAAGTACTGATGTGCCTGCTCCGAGCACAGCAGTCACACCCAGTCTGTGAGTGTGTGTGAGAAAGGTCAGAAACAGCACTGAGCAGGTCCTGACTTCACACACAAACCTTCCACCCCAGTCTGAGAACCACTAGGCACACAGTCACGGAAGGGTTGAGGTTGGAAGGACCCCTAGGGATCACCCAGCCCAACCCCCTGTTCCAGCAGGGACACCCAGAGCACGGAGCACCCGGCCGCATCCAGGTGGGTTTTGAAGCTCTCCAGAGAAGGAGCCTCCACAGCCTCCCTGGGCAGCCTGGGCCAGGGCTCGGGCACCCTCACAGCGCACAAGTTCTTGCACACGGAGCTGCCTGGGCTTCAACTTGTACCCACTGCCGCTTGTCCTGTCACTGGGCAGCTCCAAGAAGAGTTTGGTCCCTTCCTCCCTACATTCTCCCCTCAGGTACTTGGACATATTGATCAGATCCCCTCCCAACCTTCTCTTCCCCAGGCTAAACAGGCCCCGCTCACTCAGTCTCTCCTCACACAATAGATGCTCCAGCCCCTTCATTGCCTTTGTCACTCTGTGCTGGTCCCTCTCCAGAAGCTCCACGTCTCGCTTGTCCTGGGGAGCCCAGAGCTGCCCCCAGTGCTCCAGGTTTGGCCTCCCCAGAGCTGAGCAGAGGGGCAGGATCAGGATCCCCTCCCTGCCCTGCTGCCGACGTCCTCCCGATGCAGCCAGGAGCCCATTGGCCTCCTTGGCCACGAGGGCTCTGCTGCCTCATGGGTAACTCCCAACTCATGGGTAATTCCCAATTAAAAAGGTTTCCTAAGAAATGAGCCCACTAATTAAAAGGCTGGGAAAACCTGGAGGCACTGGCACTTGGTGTGCACTAGGAGAGCGCCCTGAGCGCTCACCCAACGGCCCAGGACACGGCCAGGAGGAGGGGACACGCGCAGGGAGCTGCGCCGCTCATGCACCGAGTGTGAGGCCAGGGCCGCACCACCCGTGTCACCCTCGAGGGGCTCGACGGGCCCTGTCGCTCGCAGCATGTCACAGAGCGCGGCAGGCACCGCGTGCAGAACCCGCTGCTCCCCGGGCGACCTGCAGGATGGGGCGCCGCTGCCCGGAGCCTGGCAGGCCCGTCCCCATGGAGCAGCCGCTCCGTGCGGCCGGCGCTCCCGTGCAGCGGCCGCAGCTCCCGCGGGCAGCGGTTCTGCGGCGCCCGGCGCCCCGGCCCCCGTGCAGGCAGCTCAAGTCACACAGTACCCACCTGCTCTTCTTGGCTCTCGCTCGCGGGGCCGCCTCCGAGCTGCTCTTCTTGTCCTTAGGCTCCTTGGGGGGTTTGGGTTCCCGGGGCTTCCTGGGCTTCTTGGCCACCTCCTTCTGCTTGGGCTCCTTTGGCTTCTTGGGCTCCTTGGCCTTCTTAGGCTCTTTTGGTTCTTTCGGCTCTCTCCTCCTCTTTGGTTTCACCTCCTTCTCCAGGGCGGCTTTCTCTCCCGCTTGTTGCTCGGCCAGCTCCTTTTTCCTGCGTTTCTTCTTGACGCCAGTGCCGGTGCCGCCGCCGTCCTGCAGGCCGTCGGGG